TATCAAGCCCCAAAACATGCACATACAGAATACCCTCATGTTTGGATTTTGAATGAACTCTGTTGCTACCTTTGGGTGGACTCACATTCTGATGACCTTGAGTCACCTCAGTCATGATGTGAGCCAAATACACAATTTGTGTATGCCTTAGGTAAGATCTTTCCCAAATTATTTTTCTGTACGCATCATGTAGATCATTTATTGTGATTTTGTGTTTCTTCTAAATAGCAACGCTTATAAACTGCTAGACCTAAGAGCTTTCAGGATCTTTCACAGTCATATGTTCACCTGCCTCACCATATTTATCATATTATTCCTCCACATTTTGCCTTTTATTCCAAATAGAGAACGTTATAATGTTTGCTGATTAAACACTTTGTTTCAAAAATTACAATTTATTCACATGAAAAGTATTTATTGAGCATCTACTGTGTGCCAATATTGGACTACAAGCTAGGGGCACAATCCTGATCAAAAAGAGACATCACTGGGCCAGCCCCAGTCGGCTAGTGGTTAAGTTTGGTGCACTCCACTTCAGCAGCCTGGGTTCGGTTCCAGGGTGTAGACCCACACCACTTGTTGGTTAGTGGCCATGCTGTGGTGGTGGCTCAGATAAAAGGAAAAAAAGAGGAAGATTGGCAATGGATGTTAGCTCAGAGCGAATCTTCCTCAGCAAAAAGAAAAAAAAAAGAAATCATTTCTTTTCTCACATCACTCACAACTTAATGAGGAAAGAGGACATTAATAAGACATATACACAAATAAGTGCATAATTACCAGTTGAGAGAAGAGCCACTGTGTTCTGTGAGAGCATGAATAGAACAATAAATAACAAAGCAGTTTGACTTTATCTGGGAGAGTTAAAGAGGGTATCCAGAGGAGGAGATGGTACTCCAACAGAGATTTGAAGAATAAGTCACCCAAATGAATGGGGCAGGTTAGGGCACTGAGAGAGAGAGAAGCAGCACATACAAAGGCCCTGTGGTAAGAGGGAAAATGGAATATTAGAGGAGCTGAGAGAGGACCCCTGTGCTGGGAATTTGGAGAAAGAGGGGGAAAGTGGCCAAGGAGGTCAGCAGCAGTTACATCATGCAGGGCCTTCTAGAGCCTTGTGATGGAATTTACAGCCTCAAAGTACTAGCAAGTCATTCAAGGGCTGTGAGTGTGTGGATACGTGTGTGTGCACACAGATGCACACACATGACCCAATGGTGATGGATTTTCATTTTAGAAAAATAACCTGGCTTTTTCTCTTGCCAACCCCTTCCAATCTCTTCCCTTCCCTTCCTTAAAAGCAAAACAAAACAAAATACTTCTTTGGCTTTCTTCCTTCTTTTTTTTTCACCAGAAAACCATTTGGCAGGCCCAATCAAAGTAGACATCCTGAGCAAGGGAGACAAGCCCTCGCAGGGATGGAGACCCACGTGTGAGGGGATTGGCAGCCCGCAAGAGTGGGAAATTAACTTTATAAGGGAGATTGAGAAATATATTGAAGATAATGGGAGATGTTGGAAAAGGAGGTACAAATATGCAAAGCATATTTGCTGGAATGAATTATGTGGTATTGAATCGGAATTGGAGGTATTGGTATGAACTTGTAGTTTTCAATACAGAGATAAAGAAATAAATATAGGGTGAGAGAGCCTCAAATCAATGACACTCATGTAGCAAAGAGTACACCTGGCACTCAGATCCTGGATTCTATAGTCCCTTCTACACTAAAAGCAATCAGAACTTATTAGAGTAATGACCCTTTCCAGGGCCTGGGCAGGGAAAGTACAAGATGAGCATGGTATATCTGTTTGTGTCCAAAAGTAAGAAAGTACTCAAAGAATGATGGGGACATGTCAAAAGAAGACAACACTGAGCTTGAAGGGACTCCCAATGTCCAAATACGGGATAATTTGAGCTTCAAAATATATAATGATAGTAACAGATTACAACCTATTGACTAAGATAGGAATTATTGAGTCCACACTGATATGAATATAAATGAATAAATAAATGGAGAGAAGAGAAAGCTTTTCCCAATAGTGGAAAGAATGATATTATTAGAAAATCACTATTTGGCAACCATCAAATTAATAATTAGATCAGATAAGAAACATTAATGGATGCTAAAAGTTGGGGTGAAATTGGGGAAAGAAATAGGATTTTACATAGCCTTAAAGCATCTCCCTACAAAATATTTATTACAAAGGGGAAGAATGTAAGTTTACAGAGAAGTTTGTCAAACACCATCTGAATCAAGTGTTTTAAGTTCATACCACGAATCACAGGACAAGTGGACATTGTGTGCCACTTAGTAGGATGCAAGGAAAAGAACATAAGCATTTGAGATACTCTGTTCAAAATGTATAAGCCAGGTACCATCGTGAGGAGACATTAGACTAACTAAAATTAAGGTACATTCTATTCAATGCCTGGCCTATGATCTTCAAAAGTTTCAAGGACATGAAAGTCAGGGAGACTGAGCAACTGTTCCAGATTGAAGGGGATTCCAGAGGCAGGTGTGATAACCAGGTAACACGTGGGATCCTTAATAGGGTCTTTCTGGGACAGTTGTTGAGAGTCGGAATGGAGTTTCTGGGTGAGGAGTGTACAGACATTCTTTGTAGTGTTCTTGCAACTTTTGTAGAGAGTTGAAACTATCTCAAAATAAACTATTTTTTAAAAACACTTACCCTGCTTGCAGTGTGGAGTTTGGGTGGGAGAGGCAATAGAAGCAAGAAGATGTGTCCAGGGGCTCTGAGACAGTGGGAGTGAATGGAGCCCAGAGGGTTCGGGGAGCACCCTGGAAAGGACTTGCTGGTGGATGTTGCTTAGGGATGAGGGTGACAGAGGTCCAAGAGTGACACCCAGTATCAGACCCATGCCTCTGAATGGATGATGTTGCCATTCTCTGAGAGTGGGGATGCTGGAAAGGTACTGGTTGGAACAGTAGAAGGGTTGGGGAGTGGATTGTAGGTTTAGTTTAGAATGGTGTTTCTCAAAGTTGGAAGAGTATCAGATTCATCTGGAGAGCTAATAAGGAGCATGGAGGCACAGATTCACTGAGGTAGAATAGAGTCCAGGCCTTTCCATTGTGACCATGATTTCCCAGGAAATTCTGACACCCACAGAATTTTGAAAGGTATTTGTTTAGAACATTTTGATTTTTATGTGCTAGTAGGGTATCTAAGCAGAGCTACTGAGTAGGCAGCTGGAGACGTGGGTTTGGCACATGGAGGAAAAGTCCAAATGAAGATGTATATTTAGGAGTCATTGGCATAAAGGCAGGAATCAAAACAGTGGGTGTAAATGTACTTGACTTGGGAGAGAGTAGAGTGGGCAAGAGGCCTCATTCTGAGCATGACGGAGCCCTCCATTTACCAATACAGGTGTATATAAAGTAGGAGCTGTGGAAGTCCAATTGTGCCTTTCCTCCAGAGAGGCAATTACTAAGAATTTGCTGAAACTCCTACCCCGTCACTTTGCAGACAAGAGATCCATGGCCCAGAGTGGTGAACTGAGTTACCCCCAGTCATATAGCCTGTTAGTGCAGCTTGGCCCTCACTCTAGGTCTCCAGACTCCAAGCCTGGTGACAGGACACTACGGCTCCCTATCTGGCCCCACAGTGTGCTGGACCCCTTGCCCAACTTTGGTCATTTGTGATGTCCCAGAAAGTCTGTTTCTCTGTCTTTATTTTTTCCCCTTTTGCTTACAAAGGCTCAGTAAAGGACTGACTTTGTATCCAAGCCAGCTGTCGTCTTTGCCAACTCGCTCTGCTGGCCTTTGGGCCTTTGGGTGACAGATGCCAAGGGATCTTGAATCTCTCCCCACCCCATCTTCAGGCAGAGGCGAGCAGGCTATTAACTTTATCTATTGATTTTTCAGCTCTTGCTTCTTTACATTTTTTTCTTGGTTACTCTAGAACTTATATATATAATTTTTTTTTAATTTCAATCTGCTTAGGGTTAATATTGTACCACTTTATATAAAATGTAGAAACAACAACAAAATCAAAACATATAGTCCATTTACCACCCTACTCCTGCTGCCCTTTATGTTATAATTGTCATATGTGTTATGTCTATGTACATTAAAAGTCCCAGAAGACAATCTGACAGTTTTTCCTTTAAGCAGTCATATGTAATACATAAGAGGAAAATGTTTTGTTTTAACTCAACATAGTGACCATTTCTCTTGCTTTTTGTTCATTCTGGAAGATCCAATTTGCTCTTTGGCATCATTCCTTCAGTCTGAAGAACTTCCTTTGTTATTTCTTGTAATGCAGGTCTTTGAACAACAAATTCTCTTAATTTTCCTTTATCAGAGAAATGTCTATATGTTTTCATTCATTCCTGAAAGACATTTTTGCTGGATATACAGTTCCAGCTTTATAGGTTACTTTTTTTCTTTAAGCACTTTAAACATGTTGTATCATTGTCTTCTGGTTGCTGTGGTTTCTGATGAAAAGTCCTCAGTTATTTGGATCATCGTTCCAGTGTGTGCATGTGTGTGTGTGTACATATATATATATATATATATATATATATATACGCTGTGTGATTTTTCTCTAGCAGCTTTCAAGATGTTCTCATTATCTTTGGTTTTTAGCTTTATTATGATGTATGATGTGCCTGGATATGCTTTTTTCCACCAATTTATCCTGTTTGAAATTTTCTAAGGTTCTTAATTCTGTAAATTTATGTCTTTCACTATTATTTGGGAAGTTTTCAGCCACAATTCTTCAATTATTATTTCCCACCCCTTTTTCTCTCCTTCTAGGACAACAGTTATCTATTTGTAGTACTTTTGAAATTGTTCCACAGGTTCTTGAGGCTCTGTTCATTATTTTCCCCAATTTTTTCCCTTTCTTCCTCAGATCTATCTTTAAGTTCATTGATTCTTTCATTCGCCATCTCCGTTCTGCTAAAAAAAAAAAAAAAAAAAAGGCCCTGTATTGATTTTTTTCTGATATTGTATCTTTTTCTCTACAATTTCTTATTAATTTTTCTTTTATACTTTCTAATTCTCAGCCGAAATGTCTTATTTTTTTATTCATTCTAAGCATATTTTTCTTTACTTTATTGAGCATAGCTGCAATAGCAGCTTTAAAGTCTGGGTCGTCTTGGGGTTGGCATCTTTTTTTTCTGGTGAAAACGGGTTACATTTCTCTAGCTCTTTGTGTGTCTAGTAGTTTTGGATTATATACATTGTGACTGTTATGATGTAGAGACTCTGAATTCTGTTACATTGATCCAAAGAGTGTTGATGTTTTCGGTTTAGCAGTGAATTAACTTGTTACACTCAACCTGCAAACTCGGTCATGTGTGCAGTAGGCAACAGTTCAGATTTCAGTGCTTGTGGTTTTCAGTCCGTCTCATACATGCATGGTTCAAGGGTCAGCCAGAGAATTGGGAAAACCCAGAAGTTGGGATTCCTTTTCCCTGGTTCTCATTTCCAGAGATCCTCCCCAACTCTGCAGCAGCCCTGATTATCTTCCCTTGGTTCCTCCAGCCAGACAGAGGGTGGGTTTTTCAGTGGGAGTTTTAGCCACGAGAGCTGACTGCCCTCAGGACAAAACTGCAGGAAGTAAAGTTCACCTCCGCGCTGTTCAGTCGGTGAAAACTTCAGGTTGCTTTTCCTTTCTTTTCTTTTTTCTTATTTTCTGTCCTTTCCTCTTCTCTTGTATTTGTTGTTATTTGCTGAAGAGTCCGTCTGTTAGCAGCATATGTCTCCCACCAGAAGTGGAACCCTCCACTTATTACCCGTGATCAGCAATTCCCTAACACAGTCCTTAAGACACTCTACTCCATCTTCATTCCCCTATTCCATGCAGTTCTTTCAGGATCTCTTTAACATCATCATCTTCTAATGCATCTTGTTTTACTCTGTTAGTGAAGACCTCATTAAGAGCTATTAAAGTTCTCTAGGTTTTCCTACCAGGCTCTCAGCCTTCATCTCTCATTCTGTCTTAATTCACCACCATACTTTTCTGCAGGTCTTCTTTCTCTATTTTAAATTGCTATTTCTAGCCCCAGGAGCATTTCCTTCCCACCAGGCTCCCAGAATAATGAACAGATAGAATTTGTTCTTTTGTGCTTTCTTATGATTGGAATAAACCCACTAAAGTAGGGAGGAGGGAGGAGTTCTGAATTGCTCCCACTGTTCCATCCTTTATGAGATAAATGAGCTGGGCTGGGCTCTAACACCTGTACCATTTACACAGTGCTCTTTTTGGCAGGTATATTTCTGAATACTGTTGTGGGTGTTCAAATCAACAGTCCCATGTGCCTTAGTTTGTTCAGGCAGCTGTGACAAATACCGGAGACTGCGTGGCTTAACAACAGACGTTTATTTCCCGCAGTTCCGGAGGCTCAAACTCCAAGTCAAGGTGCTGGCAGACTTAGTTCCTGGTAAGAGCCCTCTTACTGGTTTGCAGGTGGCCGCCTTCTCCCGCATCCGTGCATAGTAGAGAGAGAGAGGGCTCTGGTCTCTCTTCCTCAAACTATGAGGACACCAGTCCCATCATGCGGGTCCCACCATCATGACCTCATCTCAACCTAATCACCTCCCAAAGGCCCCGCCTCCGGATACTATCACACTGGGGGTTAGGGCTTCAACATGTACATTTCAGGAGGACCAGAGCATTCAGTCCGTAACACCATGCTTGTGTCATAGACTAGGTCTCAATGTCTGACTTCACAGGTCACATTCTGGTAATTACTGGTCCTGTCTCCTGTTACCAAGAGAAAAAAGAGGCACACACATACCAGGAAAGGTGCCATGTGTTTGATTAAGTCTTTGCATCATGGGCTCAAACACACATTCACAAATCTGGTCTGCCACCCATAGCCGCTCCCACGGGTGGACAGAGCCCCAGTAGAATTCCATAAATCTCTGGATGGCAGCTTTCTGCTGGTTAAGTCAAAAGCTCTACTCCAGCGTGGATTGCTTGCTCTTCTGATCAGTAAGAAAAGGCCACATCCAGTCCCTTTGTGAGCAAAATCTTCCCTTCTTAGTATTCAGCCACGTTCCTTCTGCTAAAGTAGTGTCAACGTTCCCATCCTCCAGAGCCCCAGGCTGTCTCTCTAAGAAGTCTCTGGCCTTGCTCTGCCTTCCCGCAGCCCCGCTCTCTGCAGGCCTCCCTGTTTTAAATGAACTGCACTCCGTCTTCAAGGTGCCTCTGATCTCCCTCAGCCCCTTCTCCTTTGCTCCTCCTGCGGTGGTGTCCTCTTGTCTCAGGCCCCAGCTCCTCCCACACCCTGGCTTTCTGGGCTTCTGAGACTCACCTCCTTCCCAGCCCATCAGTTCCTCCTCCTCCTTGCTGTCTCTCTTCTAAGGTCTGCTGACGTTCTCTGCCCTGCTCTGTCCCCCTCTGTGAACTTCAAACAGAGCTGTTTCCGGGGCATCGGCCCCTCCTGGTGGGAGGCAGGAACCATCTTCTCAGGCGATTTGCCAGCTGTGCCCTTGTCCTTTCTTGATCTTCATTCCCGTGCCAGTTCTTCCTCACATGCTGCGCTGCCTCTTCTGCCCCTCATTTCCCACACGGACTGCCTGGACCGGCTCGGGGACGGCTCAGCTGTTCCACTTCCTCTAGAATCCTCCCCATCTACGTCAGACTCATTTCCTGCACTGCTCTGGGACCCTGGGCATGGAGGGTCCATCCTCCCTGTGGGACTAGGGACAGCCTCTCCCCGAGGGCAATCTCTGTGGGTACCTGACCCCATGGCTCATCCTGCTGGGGGCGTCAGGCCTGCCCCTCACAGGCTCTGCAGAGGCCCTTACTCCCCTGTGATGAATTTCAGCCATCCCAGGTCACCATGGATGCATGACCCTAGTCCCATCCTCCCCCATTATTCCTCTGAATTGTTGTCCCAGCTGTGGCCTCCATCCTCACCGTGTTTCCAGGAGAGAGCAAGAATTCTAGCCACGATCGATTCCACGCTGATATCTGGAGCGCCTTTCCTTTCACAAAAAAAATTGACCTTCATTCCATGATACGATGCTGCCCATTTGAGCCCTGTCTTCCCACCTGGGAAGGTGGAGAAAAGACCCTCTCTAGAATTCTCTCCCCATCTGGTGTGGCAAAATAGTTCTTTGACGTGGTGGGAAGAATACAGGACTCGGATTCAAACTATGCTCTATAGATTTGACCTGAAGTCTCCTCATCCATGAAATGGGATTTGTGGGAATTTGTAAGACCCCATGTGATAAACTAGAAGCAACCCCCAGTCCAAGTCCTGCTCCGGTCACAGCTTATGTGATGGCTGTGGATGCTGCACAAGTGCTCACCCACCTCTCAGAGCCCACAGCCCAGCACAAGACACGCTCAGGGGTACATTTTCAAGGCTAACTGGCAAAAAGGATCTTATAACTTTCCCTATTCCTAGTCACTCCAAAGCAGAAAACAATAGAGCAGAGAGCCTCCAGAAGCCCAGGCAAAGCTGATAGTCACAAAGGAAAATTGAGGGTATTTTTGACAGGATCACCATGGAAGAATTTTGAAGAAAACGTCTCAGGAGAGAGCAGGGGAAAGGCAACTAAGATTATTGTGTCCATTGAAACCATGGTTCTCACACTCCACTGTGTGCCAGACCCCCTGGGAGGGCTTGTTAAAGCACAGAGTTCCTGATCTGTATGGCTGAGGTGGGCCCAGGAATGTGCATTTCACACAAGTACCCAGATAATGCTGATGACGTTGGTCTGGGACCACACTTGGAGAACCACTGCATTGAAACTATTTTAGGGAGTGTAAATTTACTGCCCAAACTGGCATTGGGAGAAGTATCAATTACCTTATTTTTCAAAAATCAAAGTTAGTCTGACACAGAGTCCCCATCTGTCAGGCTGGAAAAGAAAAAGTATTTTCAGTCTCACTAGAACTCCTCCTCCCTCCGTAAGCCCAGGGGAGTGAGAAGGTCCGGGGGCCACTCCTGCACACCAGGTCTTTGCGAGGTCCGGAGCCCCTGTGCCTCCGGCCCATTTTCCCTCTGTCTCAGGAGGAGGGACACTGCCAGCTGCTGTCCCCACCACAGAGCCCCAAACTAGCATCTGCATCCAGGTCCTGGGACCCTCCTTCTGATCCTGCCACTTTGCCCCTCATAACCCATTTCCCAGAGTCTGAATCCCTTCCCCATCCATCAGCTCTTTTGGGAAAAAACCCAAAAGAACAAAAGCAAAAGCTGATTAAATCAGCCCTGGAAATCCTGCGATTGGTATTAAGGAGTTAGGGACAGATCGATGATCACCCTCAGGCTTGAGATTCTGTGCCATAGCAGCAAAAGCATAGACATTAACGCCTCAGTCACTTTCATTGTCACGGTTACCAGTGAGCCAGCTGCGGGGTAAACTGGGGTTGAACTCCAAGAGGGTTTCTGGCGTTGCATTTGTTTATCCCCCATCTCTTATAAGTAAACAGGCGCTCAAGCTAAGAAGGTAGATCAGGGCGCCTGAGCGGGTCACCCACGTCTGGGAGGGAGAGTCTTTTTCTCTCCAGGGAACCTGCTTGAGAGTCTTTCAAAGAGGAGATCCACAGAGGAAAGATCAAGGGATCAAAGCTTCAGCCTTAAGGATGCTCCTCCTTCCCCATGCCGGGCCCCGAGCCCGACCTGTGCGGGAGAAGTGGGTGCCGCGAACAGTCGGGACTCCATCTGCTTTGACGCATCCCAGAAGAGTGGCAGACCTGCAATCACTGTTCCCTGAAACAGCAGGGGTCTGAGGGCTGCCCAGACTTTCAGTTCCACCGGGGCCAGCAATGCTATGCACAGCCCTCGTGGGTGACACTATGGTTAGGGGACCCTGTGGTGAGGACAAAGAGGCTCTGTGAACTTTTCCCAAAGCCTGTGGTGAGTGGCTCCCATCAGCAACACACACACAGCAAGCACACACAGGTATTTAGTGCAGTAGACACACATAAAAAGCACAGTCAGAGACACACAGAGAAGTACGCACACATACCTGGGGCTACCAGACACACACACACACAAACTTTCTGAATCAGTACAGGGTAATGGCCAGGCTTTTTTCTTTCATTATCACTGAGAAGTGAGTTTGGCTGCTATAGGACTCTGTTTTAGATTTTTTTTATTGTAATGTACTTAATACTTAAAAGGTGCAAAGAAAGCAGAAAATTATCTCAAAGATAATCCTTCTTGCAAGGCTTCAGGAAAAAGCACCCCGATCTGCACTTTGCAAGAATTTGCTGCTAAGCGGATGGAGCCCTCTGCCTGCCAGGTTTGGGCTCAGAGGACCTTAGTCCCTCAGAAGGAGAAAGGTTTGTTGGCTTTCCAGCCAGCGACCCCAGATCCAGTTTTACTTCTCCCCACAGTTCCTGGCGGTTTGTCCATTTAAATCATACTTCTCCTCCCTTTCTAATCCATGCCTTCCCTCATGAGGCCATTGTCAAATTATGATTCCTCGCTCTTCTTTCAATCATGGAGCTTGGGTAACAGGCTCTCTCTTGGGTGGGTGGGAAAGTGAAGAGGAATGAAGACAAGCAAGGAAAAGAGGGGGAGACCCTTTAATTGCAGCCAGAATAAAACCGAGTCCCGGTCCCCTGGAAATTCTCCAGTAGCATTAATTAAGCTGAGGGAGGAATAATTCAAATGCCACTCTACCCATGCTCCGCCACTCAGATAATTCTTCTTCAGGCACGTCTGCCTCCTCCTTCCTCCGATATCTCTCCCTGGGTCACTTTGTCACCAGATGCTCAGTTAGGGATATCAGGCCCCGACTGAAATGCCCTTTAGAAAAAGACTCAGCATAATTATTATTAGTAAGGCCAGTGTATTATTAGCGTGAGTGAGATGAGGATGGGATCGCAGAGCCTGAGCCAGCTCATGCGCTGGGGACCGGAGCGAGGCTCAGATGGCGTTTCCCAGAAAGCACATCTCTCTACTCTGAGCCTGGCGTATGGGCCTCCTCTTCACGTGCCTGTCATCGTGCCTGTCATCACGGAGGTGGGCCAGCCACCTGGATGTGGGCCAGGCAATGCCTCTGCGAGCTCTTCTCCCAACCAGCACACATTTATGAGGCACCTAGTGTGTACAAAGCACAGCAGTTAACAAAATGGACGGTTCCTGAGCTCCTTGCATTTCCTTCCTAGCAAAAAAAGATGGACATTAGACAACTAATTATGCACTGAACTATGTGATTACAATTGTGTATCACAGGACCCTGAGGAAGGAACATCTGGGCTGAAACTCAAGGTGGAAAGGAGATAATTAGGGGAAGAGCTTGGCCAGTGCCTCGTGGGAAACAGACCAAAGCAAAACACAGACCCTGCTTCACCAGTGAGCACAGGGTGTGGGGAGACAAAGGTGTTGGGGGGCTTGTGATCAAGTAAAGACGGGGAGAAGCAGCTGTCCCATAGAAAAAGCCAAAGAGGGGCCGGCCCCGTGGCCGAGTGGTTAAGTTCGCACACTTGGCTTCGGCAGCCTAGGATTTCGCTGGTTCAGATCCTGGGTGCGGACATGGCACCACTCATCAGGCCATGCTGAGGCAGCATCCCACATAGCATGATCAGAGGCACTCACAACTAGAATATACAACTATGTACTGGGGGCCTTTGGGGAGAAGAAGAAGAAGAAGAAGAAGAAGAAGAAAAGAAAAAAAAGATTGGCAACAGATGTTAGCTCAGGTGCCAATCTTTAAAAAAAAGAAAATAGAAAAAGCCAAAGGGGATGTTGGGAGAAATGGCAGGCTGAGGTGAGGCAGCATCAAGGTGTAGGGACCATGTGAGCAGCCCCATTGGGCCCACAGCAGCTTTGCTCCAACCTATGAACTCCAGGGGCATAGGAGGCAAGGAAGAACCAGAAATAAGACCCCAGACGCCAGTGTTCAGGGACTGCGCTGGGAGCCCTGTGAAGAGAGCGAGGGGGAGCTGTGCAGGCCCTGTTGGAGCACTCCTTGTAGAGGGTGGCCAGCCAGATTTCACCTTCTCAGCTGAGGTCCTGACGAGAGTCAGTCAAGAAGTCAATGAACCCATCAATCAAGGATCATTGATTTCCTGTAAAAGGCAAGGACCTCTGCTAGAGGAGGAAATTAAACTTTATTTATATTTAATATGTTGATTGGCAGTAGTATCTGTAAATCATTCACTAAGGAATAGGCTTATTTTACTGATTGGGCGCTTAATAAATGAAAGTTTGGGGCCATAACTTAGAGAAAAGAGAGATTGTTTTCAGCTGAAGTGAGAAAAGGGGTGGGGGATGGAATAGATTTCCAGATGAGTTAGATATGAACTGAGTGGTAACACTGGGTGCATGAAAGATCCTCAGTGACTATTTCTAGGATGAATGGAGGGGTGGATGGGTAAATGGATAAGGCTATGAGGGCTCAGAGGATGAGGGTTTTCTAGACAATGGTAACAGTCTGATCAGAACAGGAGAGGCCAGAAAGTACGTGCTGTGCCCACTGGGTAGAGAACAGGTTGATTTGGCTGGTATTGGGCAGAGGGCATGCAGACCAGTAAAATCATGGTGTGTTAGCCCTGGAAGGGCCCTGTTTTCAGTTGAATTGTGTCCCTCTAGGAAAGATTCTATCTAAGTCCTAAGCCCTGTACCTGTGAAATGTGATCTTATTTGGAAATAGGGTCTTTAATTTGATGTAATCAAGTTAAGATGAGATCATATTGGATAAGAGTGGACCCTAAAACTAATCACTAATGTCCTCATAAGAAGGGGGAAATTTAGACAGACACCCATTGGGAGAGGGTGGCCACGTGATGACAGAGGCAGGGATTGGATTGATGCGTCTACAAGTCAAGGAACATCAAGGATCACCAGCAAACACCAGAAGCTGGAAGAAGCAAGGAGGGACTTGCCCCTAGCAATTTCAGAGGGAGCATGGCCCTGCCAACACCTTGATTTCAGACTTCCATCCTCCAGAACTGTGAGACAATATGCTTCTGTTGTCTTGAGCCACCCAGTTTATGGTACTGTGTTACTGCAGCCCTAGCAAATTCATACAAATCCTAAGAGACCAACTGCCCCACCATCACTGGACTGGTGTGCAGTGGGTGGGCAGTCAGACTATAAAGGATGAAGGGTGGGAAACAACATGGAAGGTCTTGGATGCACATCCGGAATTTACCCAGGACTCAGGGAAACCTGACTGCGTGAGATTTAAGAAGGTAAAAAAAAAAAAACCCAATAACATTCTAATCCTGGTTTGCTGAGTTCACTGGGGTGGCAGTGCATCTTTGCAGGAGCTTTGCTTTCAAAGAGCGATGAGCACAAGAGGTTAAGTAAAAGGGACTGCTCAGGTTTGTAAAGCCCTGACCAGCCTTGAGATTCTGGGAGTCTTTGCAAATCCCCCTCTAGTTCTGCAGGAGTTCTATACATTGTTAGAGAAGTTCTACGGAGGGTGGAGGTACTTGTCCCATGCACCCAGCCTAATAGGGCCTCCAGGACCTCACGGGGTTGGCCCATGAGCCAGTCACAAGGCATAGCCTCCTCACAAAAAGAGGCCTGTGGGTCCAGCGAATCTCTGGAAGGCAAGGTGTTTATCCAAGAAAGGGAAACCAGGCCCTTCAATCCAGCCCTCTGAGAGCACGTGGGAGCAAGAGTGATTTTCTAAAGACCCCAGCAGCTCAAAACCAGCCCTGTCGAGGCTGGCCATATTACACTTCCTCTGGGAAAGCTGAATTCGAAAATCTGAAGGCGGCCAAGAAACTCTCTGCCAGCACAGTTTATAGATCCAGAGGAACAGGAAAGAGTGAGTCGGAAAATAAGGGGGAGAGGAGGAGAGAGAGCTGAGTGAGGAAGGGAAAGAGCAGGAGGAGAGCTGATCAAAGGCCAGTGCTGCAGCAGCTCTGCAGATTCTCCAGCTGCAGGGGGAATAGGCTGCAGAGGTGAAGATTTTATTTTAATCCTCCCACAAAAGCATTCAAGTAAACTGTTTCCCTGTGAGAAAGCCAGAGAGTAAGAAACAGGAAGACAAGATTCTCAGTGAAAAGGTCCATGTAGACTTCCACCAATATTGCTCACTTAGAGACTACATGCCATCTGAGTGTTTGATAAAAAGAAAAAACGAAAAAAAGGCGTAAAGAAAAGTTCAAAGTTCGCAGATTCGGCTTGTGAGTTACAAGCTGCTTGCCTCCCCTCATGGCTAGCTCTCTCCTTTGTGGGAGGCGGATATTTTTTTTCTTGGTCAGCAATGACTATCTTTTCAAAGTGACCTGTCAGGTCTTCCTTCCTTTATTCTCTTGTGGCCAAGGAGCTAAGCAGTGGGGAGAGGGGCGGGGAGGGGACCCAGGTGACAAGAGCAAAGCTGACCTTCTATTCACGAATAGGCTGAGAATTTTCTATTAAAATGCAAAGCCACAACCCAGTTGTGCCCGGACTGACCCAGCAGCCTCACATTTTCCTACTCCATGTCAGGTGGGACAAAGAACCCGCGTTGTCCATGCACTTTCTCTTACTTCATGACTGTTAGAGGTGAATGCTTTGGGCACATTCCCTAGGACTCTGGCCTATGACTTAGCCAGGAGTAGCTATGGGGACCTGACTTTAGCCCCCACCATTTTTGAAAACTTCTCCTTTGGAACGGAATTTCCCTGGTCCAGGGATCACAGAAGATGGCAGGAAATCCAGGGCGACCCCAGCCCAAATTGCCAAGCGGTGTGAATTCATGTGCTTTTAAACCAACATCACCAATAAAATGGTATGAAATGGTTTTTAGTTAGACATTCTACCCTGAGAAGTTAAAAGGGTAAAGGTTTGGCAAGGAAATGCTAGAGTTGGGGGTAGGGGGTAGGGGGTATGGGGTGAGGGGATGCAGAGGTCTGGGCAGAGGAAGGGGCGGATCCCTTAGTATCACTTCAAGATAGTTCATGTTCCTCCCAAATTACCATCGCACATGCTATGGTTCTATTATCCTAAAATAGTTACCAGTATTCTATAGTAGTTCTCAGTATTAGATAATTATTTTAGTAAGTCAATAAGACACATAGTTTAAAACCTATTATTCAGGCTTTTTGGTTGTTTATTTGTATTGGCTTTTGATACTTGTTCTCCTACCAGTAGTCATTATCTTCAGTAACAAACACCCTAAACTCATTTTTTTTCTTGCTTTATTTTTCAATGTTTTCATCACATTTCAACTCATGGAGCATAATTCGGTCCAATAGGTCTGATGACAGACACACAAGTTCAACGCACAAGACCTCACAGTAGGTAATTCTGAAGGTGGTCTCAGCAGCTTTAAGACAAGGCTGAATTTTGAGCCAAAAACCATGGTTTGAATCCTGGCTCTGCCAATTATTAACTTGGAGTAAGTTACTTTACCTCTCTGAGACTCTGTTCCATTATCTTTCGAATGGGAATAATATATTATACTTGACCTATATCACATGATTATTGTAAAGGTCAAAGGAAAATATACTGTTTCGAAAGTGCTTTAATAAACTTTCCAAGTCCTATAAAAATGTAACAAAATAAAACTTACCATAAAAGCTGATGAAATACAATAAATTATTCTGGATCTTGGTAAAATACTTTCACCTGATTTTGGAGGAGAACTCTGTTCCAACAATACACGGCATGCTAAATTCTAATTAGCAACGAATGGGACTTGTTGCTTTCAGTTAATACGCAAGTGGTGGGATTCTAATATGAAAATCTAACCAATGTAATGTAAAGAGCACAAAGTTGATGGCAGTGAGACAGAGATCTACACCATGGTTCTGCCACTAACACAGTATGTAACCCATGAAGAATTTACTTTGTGAGCCTCAGTTTGTGATCTGTAAAATAGGAATAAGACCCTACCTCTTCGTATTGTGAAAATTGGGTGAATATATAAAGCGCCCAGCAGGGCAGCTGTCGCCCAGTGGATGCTTGATAAATGTCCATTTGCTCTCGCCTCCTCTGAGGTGCCTGGTAAAAATGAGAGTGGAGATGGACCCTGCTGTGTTACAGTGCCTGTCTCTTCAGTGTAAACCCACTCAATACATGATCAGTAAATGGGGAAATGATGTCAGGATAGGCAGAAGTGCTGTGGTTCTCATGTGATCTTTTCCCAGGAGATTTGTGTCTTGAAGCAGTCAGGGTAAGTTTTCTTACAATTAAAGAGACAGCCTCAGCATAATAAGAGGGCCTGAAGAAAAAAGTTGGACATTGACAGAAAGGCCTTTCTTTAGTGCAAACAGTGGCTGGTTTCGTGGTTTCCAGAACTACTGTGTTTTCCACTCTGTTATCTGGTGAAGCGGAGCATAAAGATAAGGAAACTGTGCAAACGTCTTCCTTTGTGTTAAATTTTAATTTGGAGACAACACTGCTGATCAGATTTTTAATTTTGAGGAAACTGATCTCTATGAGATGTGAATGCCCCCCAGGACCTGCATCCCCTGAGAGGAAACACAAAATCCAGGATTTAGGCTGCAAAGGATTGACTGGCTGATATGCTGGTGCGAACTAGGTTGTCATTTACCTGCACTACTATTTTTACTAGGATTGTTGTGTTTTTGTTACATTTTGAGTGTTCTTCTCCCAATGTAATTTTTTTTCCATAGGCTCTCTCTGTTATTTTATTGTGGGATTTTTCAGAATATGAGGTTTTTTAGAAATTTGTGTACGACGTTATAGCAGAAATGCCTGTATTGGGAAATTAGAGTCTATTCAATCACCTTCAGGAAGCATATGCTCCACTTAGGCATAATAAGTCATTGAACCATCAATAGGCCTAACATCTGAGCCGGAAAGTTTTTAGAGTTTTCAATAATATCAAAATTAAAACAATTATGTTAGAACGTATAGGTCAACCAAAGAAAACCTTGTATGTGAGTCTCTAGGATGCCTCCTTTGGCATGTGGTCAGTGCTTCTCTCTCTTGTCCTAGAGTTTACAGGAGTTGGGACAGGGCCCCCTCTTGTGTGATGGGAGACCCAGCTGGGTCCAGGCTGCCATCCTGCTTCAACCACAGCTCCTCTTCGATGGGTTTGAGAGATTGAGCTTTTACAAGGTTTCCTTTCCAACAAAGGTTTTGCCACTCCAAGTACAGTATTTGAAAAATATGGGCCATCAAGTGTCACAATAATAGGTCATTTTATGTGGTCATACTTTTTCCAGGCCTAGGAGAGACTCTACAGACCATGCCAATGTTGGTCTTTAAAGAAGATTACAGGGAAATGTAATTACATTTTAGAGCTTCAAAGCTAGGGTATTGTCCGTATTACATTTGGTTTACTGTCTACATCTGAAGCCATGACGGAAATGCTTAGGGCTCTCCTGATCACTTCTCTGTAAGAACAACTTCAAAAGGAAACACTATTGTTTGTCAGAGAATTCCTTTAGATACCTAATCAATTCAAAAGAAGATTTTTTAAAACTTTTTATTTGGACAAAATTTCAAAAGATTTTAATTTTGTGGAAACCAATCTCTACTAGAAGGGAATGCCTCCCAGGACCTGCAGTCTAGGGTCAGCTCTTGCAGTGAGTTGTCACGTCTCTTCAGTTTCCCTCAATCTGGAACATTTCCAGTGTCTTTCTTTGACTTTTATTACATTGACTTTTTTTAAAGGATATAGTCGTTTTTTATGCATTAGTAGAACATTCTTCAATTTGGGCTTTTCTGGTATTCTTCAGAATTAGATTTCTGTTCTATATTCTTGGTGATATCCCACATAAGTAATGTTGCATCCTTCCTAGGGTATCATATCTCAAGACATATGATGTCCATGTGCCCCTCATTGGTGCTATTAATTTTGATCACCTGGTCAAGATTTTGTCCAATTTCTCCAATGAATAGTTACATATAGTAAATATTACATATGTTTTTCTCTTGTAATTGATAAATAGTCTGTGGGAGGACTGACTATGCAAATATTCTGCTCTTCATCAAAATTTCCATGCTAGTTTTAGCATCTGTTGATGATTCTTATCTGAAATAGTCTTTATTATCATGGCTGCAAAATGATATTTTCCACCTCTAGCCACTGTGTTAGCACTTGTCATTGACAAGGGGATATTTTGGATGGTAGTTCTATAATCCAGTCAAATGTTCCTTTGTCCTGCTTGGAAACTCAACCTAATAACATTCTGAAGATCACATTCTCTGTGATTTTTGCCTGAGAAGTTTTCGAATAACCTTTGGCCAAAACATTAAGATTCTCATCTGTTCCCCGGTTGCCAAACCCTGTAAGGCTATGGCTTTTCAGATCTGGTCTTATTCCATCACTCTACACTCTGCGCACACCTTTGTTGTAAACAGTCTGTCATTTACTTGAGGGGAGAGGAGAGTAGGATGGGGAGAAGTAGACAAGCTCCTCTCTGCCCCACAAATATGTTGGCTCTTTAATTCTTGCTTCTCTGCCTACATGCCTTCTTTGCTCCAGAGCGAGGATGCCCTGCTTTCCACCTGTCCTCATCTCACCCATCATTTGTCACAGGTGGTAAAATACCCCTGGATAGCCCAGAAAGGTAAAAGTCTTATAGACCTTGGGAGATACTAAAATGTTCCTATAGGCTGTAGGACGTCCAGCATCAACAAGGCCAGATGGGAAGGCTTCTGCTTATCATGTGTAGAGGCCACAGATCTTGGGAACTTACCTGGGCTTCTCTTGACTTGTGGTTGAGGATTACCTCCTGAGCCATTTGGGTTCCTACAGAACATGAATATGGGTTCGTAGGCCTTGGTAGACCATGGCTATGAAGGAAATGGGAATTGTTTTGCGGGGCTCACAGTTCACCAGCCCCAGATAAAATGAATTTTGAACTCTCTGAAAACAGGAAGTCTTTGGACTTCCTCAGGAGGTGCTACCATGACTCTCATGATTCCAGAAAATTCTGGAATGGAGGCCCCACAGTTCTAGGCAGAGCTTCAAGGCTGTAGCAAGATTAGGAAGGCCCCAAGTCTAGTGAGTGGGGCTTGTGTTAACAGCCACTAAGAGCCACAGGGAAAGGGTCAAGTCCAGGGATGGAGGAGTAGAAACTGAGGGATCTCCTCTTCCTGCTGTGAAGAACTCAACTGCCTTTGGGACAATCATATGGCAGACCCATCCCTGGGCTCCTATGGGCCCAAGAAGGACAGGCAGGGAGGTAAAGAGCAGGGGTCTAGACCCTCTAGGGTGGGCGAACTTAGGTCTGGGAATGTGAGAGGAACTCCAGGATCTGGTTTTCTAAGGAATGAGAAAATGTACTATAAATCCTAACGTAGATAAGAAAATAGAGAGGTCAGTCAGCAAGGAAAGAAGAGGTAAGATACAAGCAGCATGGCTGAAGTCTAAATCGAGCTGGCTCCCAGATACTCCACGCAAGGGTTCTGTAGTGCAGGCCTAGGCTGGCCACTGGAATCTGAGGCCAAAAGCATGAGAGATTGGGAACAACCACAGGCAGCTCAGCCCATGGTCCAGCCTCCACTGTGTTCTTACTGCTGCTTTTACCACCTCCACCTGGTTTCACCTCAGTGCCCTCCTCCAGACCACTCAGTTGCTCTTCGCTGCCCACTCCTCCTGTTCTTACCCAGCCATGCATCCTTTTCTCCCAGCAGCTGGCCTGGCTTCTTCTTTTATCACAGTATCCTGAGCTTTCATATGCTGCTCAGTAAATGCTTGTGGAGTGAATTAAGAAATTAATTAATGAGTGACAAACATGTCCCTGGAGACCTGGGATCTACCAAGTAGAATGGTCAGTGTAAAATGGAGCAGGAGCCCGTGTGCCCAGGGAGCAATGGCTGTCCCAAAGCAGCTGGGTTCTTCAGAGTGGGAAGAAGACACCCTTCAGTTTCCACTCTTCCAACCCTGGACTTGACCCTTTCCCTGTGGCTCTTAGGTAGCTGTTATCATCAGCCCCTTTCATCAGACTTTGGCCATCACAATTCCCCACTCTCTCCCCCCACACCTGAGAGAGGACTGATCCCAGGGCAGGCAGAGAGAAGGGGGCTTATTGATCCAACTTGGAGGGTCAGCCTATCTGAAGAAAGGGACCTAAGGAAGGTTCTTGAATGCCATATTTAAAAAAATGTTACTATAGTTTTATTTATAAAAGCAATGTTGAAAAATATCAAAAAATAAAAATGTGTTTAAAGTAAAAAGTGAAACTGTCTTCCTCTTCCCAATTCCCAGAAGTCACTATCATTAATAGTTTGGTGTGTTCCTTCCCAATTTGAGTGTGTTTGTGTGTGTGTTTATCTATATATTTTTTGTGGTCTCAAAAATGGTTTCATACTATACATATTGATCTATTTGACTTGCTTTGCTAGTTCACGATGTATCATGAATATGACCTTTTCCCCTCTTAGTCCCTTACTTCATACCTTTGGAGATCTTTTGCTGCTGCCCCTGGAGGTTTCTCAGGCTCTTTCTCAGGCATCCTTTGGATGAATGAACTGTAGAAACCGTTTAACAAGCTCCTTTGGGATGGCCGTCTAGGTGGCTTCTGATGTTGTATTATTTCAAACAATGCTTCCATGAATATTCTCCTATAGATATCTCTGCACACTTGTATAGATATTTCTGCAAAATAAATTTCAAGAAGGGAAATTGTTGGGTCAAAGAATTTGCACATTAAATTTTTTTTTAATAATTTCAAACTTAAGAAAAGTTCCAAAAATAAGAACAATACAAACAACACCCATATACATATGACCTCTGCCCAGATTCTTCACCTATTGTTGTCATTTTACCCCATTTCTTTATTATTTGCCTGCTTCCCATCTCTAAAATGTTTTTTTCTAAACACTTGGAATACGCTGCATACATCATGGCTCTTTATCTCCACAAACCGAGAGTGCACTTCCTTATTTCCTGAGAATAGGAATATTCTCTTACAAAGCTATAGTACAGTTACCAACTTCAGCAATTTAACATGGATAAAATACTTTGATCTAATGTACTGTCTGTACCCTAATTTTGTTAATTGACCCAAAAATGTCCTTTTCAGCACTTTTTGCTTTTGTTACAGGATCCAGTCTAAGATCAGATATTGCATTTCATTGTCATGTCAGTTTAGTATTTTTTAATCTGGAACATTTTCACACCCTTTCTTTGTTGTTTATGATATTGACATTTTAAAAGAATATCGTCCCTATTTTTTTAATAGAATCTTCTTCATTTGGGGTTTGTCTTCTATCTCTTCATGATTAGACTCGGGTTATGCATTATGCATTGCACAAATGACGGTGTGGCCTTCTCAGAGATCACATCTGGAGGCACATGATGTTCCTCTGCCCCTCATGGTGATGTTCAGAATTGCATATTTTAAATTTTGATAGAAAAAGTTCATTTCCCAAAACCTTTTACCAATTTATACTCCTGTCACAGTTTGGGAGACTTCCCCATGGTCCATCCCTCCGTCACGAAGGGGACCATCAGTCCTCAACTTATTCCCAGCCTGTGCACTCTGCTCATTAATGCTTTATTTTAAAAGAAAGAAAGAAATGTCTTTTCCCACTTCACTTTGAGGAACACCTTAATATTCTTCTCTCTGAACAGATGTTCCCCAAACATCAAAAATGTGGTAGACTCACACGATCTTTTGTATCCCGAAGCTCACTGGGACTTGGACAGTCTCAGGGTGATGACAGCACAGGTGGGATGGCATCCTTGGAGGAGAGTTTGGGGCTCCATGCTCTGAAAATAAAACAGAAGCCAATCCTTTTTTTTCTCTTTGGGAGAGAACAGATACCACCTGCCCTCCATACACAGGGACATTTATCTCCATTTATCTTTCCTTCTTCTTTCTTGTTATCCACTCTGAAGAAAAGGCAGCATGAGATGTGGAACTGGAGGACAGATGGGTTTCGGGTGCCCCTTGTGCCTTTCGTCAGGTGTGGACTCACAGCGCCCTCCTCTCCTTGCCGAGACACATAACTGATGGGGAAGGTACCCAGGAGGAAGCTGGCCTCCCTGAATGGCCTTTGGGGCTGGCTCTGCCTCTCCCTAGCCATCCCTCACCACCACCAGAGGAGGACAGGGGCCCCGAGAACGGGCTCACGCAGGGAGGCAGGTGGCACAGCCTCACCCGCACAGCTCGCGCTCCGCAGGCGGTAGCTAACAGCTCCTCGTACGACCCTCTGAGATAATTAAGCATTATTATCCATATTGGCAGGTGGAGATGGTAAGACAGAGTGGTTAAGTGACTTGGTTATAACAGCCGGGATTGTTGGAGGGAGAAGCCGTGCCAAGAAGGCAGTGCAGTTCAGGAGGCCGCGAGAGCTTATGCTACTTAACATGACTGATTATTTTAAAATAGCTCTTGGGGGGGCAGGGAGGGAGACTAGACGCATGGCTGGTGGGCATGGGTAAGGCACCGAAAATCACACTGCGAATAAGGAGTGTACCTGGTATACAGAGTAAAACGGGGTGCCGTGGACAGTCTGTCAGATGCTCACATTGCATGAAGAGAAGGGAAAAAAATGGAAGGCCCTAGTGGACTCAGCAAGGACAATGGAGTAAACCCCATGGGCCTCCCACAGAGCTGGACAGAGGTCTCCAAGATGGCTGCACAGAGGCCAGTCCCCGTCTGCAGACAGCGCATCCACCCTGCACCTCGCTGCTCCTGTGGGAGCCCCTGGCAGCCGGTTGCGGTGGGCGGTGCAGCCGTGCCTCAGAGTGCAGGAAGGCCCAGGGTCCCGGGCACAGGAGCGGGAATGGAACCACAGAATAGTGCCGGTGCCTGAGGTCAGGGGGTGACACATGGGGCAAAGGCAGGAGGGCCATCACAGCCTGTTGACAGAGAGAGGAGCCACGGAGACATGGGGACTCGTGGGAGAGCCCAGGTGTCCCTGGCAAGGCAAATGGACTGGCTGAAAAAGGAGAGGAGAATTGTGGTGTGTTAGGGTGGGCCTGGGGCTGGGGGTAGGCAGCAGAGAAGCAGTGGGGATGAGGGGCTCCAGGAAAAAGCGCAATTCTTGCCAAGGACAGAGAAGCAACCCATATACACTGGACATGGCCCAGGAAGCTGAGGGTAGACAGCAGGGTGACTGGCTAGCCTCCTCCTCAACCCTGCCCATCCCCTGCTCCCTGGTTCTCCCTGCCACCTTGTCATCCAAAGGGCCCTGAGGCTCCAGCTCGGAGGCAGGGGGAATTTTTGACTCATCAGCTGGGTAGACACATCCTTGCTCACCAGGTCCTTGGTAGGTACTGGCTCCCTCCCTCGGTTACCAGTAGTCCACCATCTGGGAAGGCACATGCAGAGAATCTAAAGCCCATAGGACCAGTTAATCCAACCACTCTCTCCAGAGAGACTTCCCAGGGGCACTGAGAACAAGGCCCAAGCCTGGGGGATGGTACCAGGAGAGACTAAGCCTGCGCCTGGTTGATCTGCTCATGGCTGCAGGAGTGCCTGGCTGGTGCCCTCCTCAGGGCAGAAGCGGTACTGTTCCCTTTCCCTCTGCTGACCCTGGCCTGGCCCAGAGAGGGTACCCACCGCCTACTTTCAAATGAATGAAGGCAGCCAGTGAATTATTTAGCCCTTATCTCTCCACTGTTTCTTTTTAATTATAAACTCAAGAAGTGCTGGGTGATAAAAATAATAATAATGATGCCCACATCTCAGCCATCGGGGGCTATCTGGGGGGTGGGTAGGAAAAGACAGCTGTTTGCCCTGACTGTGTAGTACAGAGAAACAACGTCTGTTTGGTTGAACAGGATTTTTTTTTCCATCTGGGAAACATCACCAAGCGGCCATTCTGTTCTTCCCACAGGAAACACACACTATTATCTGCATATTTTTAGTTAATTTATGTCCAAATAGGCCTTTCTCTAGCTGCTGGAAAATGATGTTTGGGATGCAATTACCTTTTGCAGCATCTCGCAGAAGGGTTTCAGCGCTCGCAAAGCTCAGGGGAGAGGCAGCAAGGACCCTACTGACTGTAAATCTCGCCGTTTGTAGTTATTCAAATCACATATTTTATTACTCGTATGAAATACATTGTGTCATTCATTTTGGAGGAGCAGCTAATGCTTCAAGAAAAGCTTTGAAAAACATTCTATTTAGAAACAGTTTTGTCTGCAGACAACGCAGTGTGTCTTTTCGGGTTGTCTTCTCTCTGTTACGTGTGCTATTTGCATGACAAATAAGACCATCCTCCCCAGAAGCTCACCTGTTCCTGCAGCCTGTTTCCCACCTAAAGTTCTAATTCTCTGTATGTTGCATCATAATCCTTAGCGTGGTAATAAATTACAGTGTCACCGTCAAGATTGTGGCTTCTGGAAAGAAAGAAGCAGCAGGGCCAGATGAACTCTCTCAGAAGATGGAGAGACTGTTTTCATGCAAATTCCTGGCATCCTGGGGAACTAGGAACAGCCTCTTTATTATATGGACTCAGTTGCAATTTAGCAGCCTGAAGCCATTTCCACTGGCTGTTAGAAGCTGGTAACTCAGAGAAAGATAACCTTTTAGGCAGAAAGTTCTTTTCCTTCTTGGCTGATACAGGTCTTATCTGAAAAAAATCACTTTGTTGATGAGGTTGGAGAAAACGGCTCAGTGTACTTTCAGAGTGCTTTTAAAAAGAGACATTTATTCAAAAATACCTTCCTAATTTAACACTTAGAACCACATTAGACCTCTTGGTTCAGGCCAGGGACAGTGACTGGGAAACAGGAGGAGGACATGTCCCATGGATGCAGCCTGAGGGCAGGACCATCTGTGCCTGAACTGTCTACAAAGGGCTGCACAGAGACCCTCTCTCGGCAGATGCCTCGGCCAAGGCTGGGCAACCACACGGTCAGGATGGTCATTGCTCCAAGGGGAGTGTCCAACCTTCCACTGCAGAAAGACACTTTCTATGCAATGTGAACTTCACCTCGATTTGCCCTTCATTTTCCTTAGGCCACAGATATACTTGATGGAAACTTTGGTGAAGCTATCTTGCTGCCTTTTGTCGCCCCATCATTTTAAGATCTTTTGACATTTAGTGCAGTATGGTGGCCATATATACGGCCACCCATTCCCTCACCCATCACAGACATGGCTCATCAGTCATGGTACTCTTCCTTGCTGAGCCTAGATGAGCCCTCAGAATCCTTCTCAACCCAGCCACTAACAGTGACCAGAGCTGGTATTTAAAATGAGACCTCATGCAATCCATGACTTATGCAGGGTTGATCTGTACCAATGGTTCTCAAAGTGTAGGAACCACCCTAGAAATTTGTTAGAAGTGTAAATTCTCAAATCCTATCCCAGAACTAGTAAATTTGAAAGTCTGGGTCAGGGCCCTGAGATGTGTGTTTTAACAGGCCTTCCAGGAGATTCTGATGCACACTCAAATTTAAGAACCACTGCTGCAGGCCAGTGGTTGCATATTAGAATCACCTAAAGCATGTTAAACCTACCAATGCTTGGGCACCACTCCTAGAGATTCTGAATAAAGTAGAATGCCCATTGGCATTAAAAAAATAATAAAGCCACAACTTCCTAGGGTGATTCCAATGGGCAGCAAAGCTTGAGAACACCAGGCTAGGCTTTCCGGGGTACCGAGAAGAGGGGTATTAACATTACCTTCAGCCAGTGTTGTCGATTAAGATGGAGCTACCTAGACCTGGAGTGTCTACCCTGTCTGGGACTCAGCTGGAAGTGTAAGGGTGGGTTCTCCCTCAGGCATGTCAGGGCTCTCCAGTGAAGAGGAGTATTGGTGGTGGCTCCAGCATCCTCATCAGAGCTGCCTTCTGCCTGTGGTCCTCAGTTCATCAGTGAAAGTGTGATGGTGCTGGCCCTTGTAATTGTCACTGCACAGCACTTGCATTGCTGGGCAGCACAGTCCTTCAAGGGCTAGGCTGGCCTGGGTCTGAGCAACAGCACTGAGGAATACAGAGGGCCCTGGGTTTATCTGCTGGGCTTCAATCTGAATGTTAGAGGAATCTCTCACTCCCAAATCCCACTGCCTCCTAATTACAGCCCACGGTGGACCTGCCACCTGGGAATTTAACAGCAGTATTTTTAAACTAGTGCCTGATAAAATTGTGTACACTCAATGTGTTAGTTTCCTAGGGCTACTTTACCAAAGTACCACAAACTGAGTGACTTTAAACAAGGGGAATTTATTCTCTTACAGTTCTGGAGGCTAGAAACCCAAAATCAATGTTTTGTCTGGCTCATGCTTCCTCCTAAGGCTCTAGGAAGAATCTGTTGTTGGCAATCCTCGGCTTGTCTGTGCATCTTTCCAATCTCTGCCTCTGTCTTCATATGTTCTTCTCTCCTATGTGTCTCTGTGCCTTCACATGGCCTTCCTACATGGGCATCAGTCATTGGACTTAGGACCCACCCTAATCCACTAGGACCTTCTCTTATCTGGTTATATCTTCAAAGACCAAATTTCCAAATAAGGTCATACTCATTAGTACAGGAGATTAGAACTTGAACATGTCTTTTGGAGGACACAATCCAACATATAACTCTCAAAAAATACTTATTTAATGGCAACGATAGTATACTGGGTGGTTTAGATATATATATCACGTCAGATCTTCACAGCAACCCCAATATGTTTTATATATTATAAACCTATTAGTGAGTGGGCATTATGACATTCAGAGCCATTGCATGATGCTCTTGGTCACAAACCTATCACTTCAAGGGGATTCCTCATGCAGCATGATTCCAATATTTGATGAACAAGTCCATGATCACCATACTCAGTGTTCATGAGTATCTAGATTCATGTTATATCCCCACTGAGACTTGTCTCACGCAAGATGGCAGAGAAAAGTTCTATAACAATGCCCAGACACACAGAAGTGTTACCCTTATGGCCATCTCTAGGATTGGTAACTAGCAAGGAGAATCAGTCCTATGCTCAGACTTTGGCCTGGAAAACTCCACAATTGGGGGAGTTCTAGAACCAAAGCTATGAGCTGTGCTTATCTAATCTCACTGGGGTAAGACAGTGAGCTGGCTAGGTGGCACTGGAGGCATCCATTGCTCTATGAGAGTGGGGCTGAGTCTCATTGTTGTCCTGTCCCCAGCAGAATGCTGGGCAGAGTGGGTGCTGCAAACATATTGTTGTATCCTGGCTGAGGCTAAGGGACTAAAGCACCCCTGTACAGACTTTCCACATGTTGGCCTCATACCTGCTGTGGTTGTGGGTTATCAGCAGGTGACCCTGAAGATGGTGGTGTTAGAATTAATTCGCTGCCAGATATATTCTCTTACTTTATTGAATTACACACACACACAATCTTTATAATGAGTCTTATACCTAAGTCAGGGCATGATTATTCTGAGGCAGTAGATTTCAAACTTTGCAAGAATTTCTTGACAACACAACAATTCAAGGTCGGCGTATGAAGTCGTTTAGGGAGCTCAGAGCCCTGATGTGGTGAGGTGCCTCCCCCGCCTCTCCTCTTCTCCCCACCCCGCCCATGCCCCAACAGTGACCCTCTGTGGCAACTCTGGGGAGTCCTGGTCCCTGCAGAATGCAGACCTGAGCCCCCAGTATCCCTGGGGAAGCAGCCATCTGGTGCCATAGGGCAACTCTGTGCTGGGGACAGTGTCTCTTCAAGCTCAGTGTCAGCCCCTCTTTGCCCACCTGGATGCAGATTCTTTCCCTGGGCCTCATTTGTTCTTCACCCCCGTGAGAATTCCTGTTCTGTCATGTTCCTTCCAATCCAACGCAGCCAACCACTCCTCTGTGCCCTTCCTCATGCCTGCTCTGGCAAGAGCCAGGAACTCTTACAGTACTCTGTAGTCACATGAATGCCTTGGCTTTGGGACTTCTGGTCCAGACTTCTCTTCCCTGGCAGGAGGACCCTACTCACTAGTGGAAACCCTGCCTGCTGCAACACCACACATGGGGCTGGTCATCATCCTCTAAATTAACAGATTTCCTTTCACATAATTGAAGACAAGTTAAATAATCGTCCCCATAATTACTTCTGAGCATCCGAAGGCAACGCTGATGATGCAATGTTTGCAAAGCTGGGAGGAAAGTTTAAAATTCCCAGGAGGAAAGCGCCTGTCCATCTGCTCCCCTGACTTTGGCCTCCCTTTTGTTCTGCCTCAGAGGTCAGCATCTCCTGCTCTCTTGGCTGAGTGGGAGAGCCGGTCGTGACAAGCTGTCACCTGCCTGTCCAGGGTGGCTCTTCTCGAAGCCTCTGCCACCTGCTGGGATGGGGGTGGCGGTGACAGGCCAAACTCCGTGTTCAGTGAGGCCCAACAGCGCAAGGTGGCAGGAGGGCTGAGGCGCCTCGCCAGTGGGCCTGGCACTGCCACTTTACATGCAGGAGGGAGCAGCTCAGCAGCTGTCACTGGAAGCCCCTGGGGTCTGCTCCAGACTTGGCAGAGAGGACACCTTCAGACTCCCAAATCGCCTCTTTGAAATTCAGAAGGACCACACTTCCATCTCCCCTCCCCCCTTCTCTGACACAAACATACACACCAAAGATAAGCCCCAACCCTCTTTTACTCACAGACCTACACGGCCAAATTCTCTGTCTCCCACTCTCTCACACACTCACTCACATATTGATAAGTTCTCATTCACACAGTCTCATTCCCTCCCTCCCTCTGCCTCTCTCTCTCTGTCTCTCTCTCTCTCTCACACACACACAGATCACACTAATTAAACTCCACCTCTCTACCTCACTTATCCTAGATATTTCCAGAAATCAACCCCCCCTCCTCTGGGGGAGCCCCAGGCCCTCTCCAGGACACACCCTCTCCCCTAGTGGGGGCATACAACATGGAGTCCCTGAGCCATTAGACACTGGCCTCCAGGTATTTGACAACTCCTGGTTTGCTGGATGAATTTTCCACCTCTCTTCCCAGCCATGGGTACCATGTGGGTAAAACCAGTAAATTCATTCATGTTCTGGGTGACAGTGAGAACAGAGCATCCTGTCGCAGCCACAGCCCAAGCCTGCCCTCCAGGCATTTGTCAACGTTGCTGGCATTTGAGCCGAGGACATCTCCCACCACAAAAGCCTGCCACCCTCCCCGGGGAAATCAGGACTGTCTTCTTTGCGGAAAGCTGGATGTGTGCTGGGGGAGGTCAGGGCCAGATGCCTTTATTCCTCCCAGGCCTGGGTAGGAAACCGGATCAAAATACGCTTGTGGCGTGCTCCTTTTCTCTCACTTGCTCTCAGACTAACAGCTTACACATTTTTAAGGTATTTTTGCTGAAGTCCAGCACATATCTCTGGTGATTTGAAGAGATCATGAGGACGGTCAGTATAAAAATAGCCTCCTTCAGCCGAGGCTCGAGGCAGGTGAGGAGGGCGTGAGGGAGCTGAGGTTTCGTGGATTAGGAGGCAGAGACCAGGCATCGCGAAAGGGCCGTGGGAGTGAACGCCTGGCATTTGACATGAGGAACTGAAAAAGAGGATTGTATTTGTTCTAGTGAATGATGAGCTCTGGAGGGCGGCCGTGTGAGGGCCCCCCTTTACCCCTGTAAGCTGTGTCAGCGTCCTACAGAGTGTGCCCTGCTCTCTGCTCCCTCCCCTCACCTGCCCCTGCAGCATCCCTGCCTCAGCCATCCTGGATGACAGGCAGCACCATCCTCTCACCTACCCTGGCGTCTGCGCATGCTCCTCTCTGCCTGGCCTTCCCTCCTCTTGTCACTTTGCCTGATTCACTCCTACTCGTCCTCTAGGACTAAGCAGAGTGAATAATAGTTAACGCATGTGCAGCACTTACCCCCTATGCCAGGCCCTGTCCCAGGCGCTATATGGACAGTAAGCTGCTTAATTCTCACGACAACCTGACTATGTAGGTTCAGTCATTACTCCCATTTTGCAGATGAGAAACTGAAGCACAGAGAGGTTAGGTAACTTGCTCAGGTCACACAGGTAGAAAGGGGCAGTACTGGTATCCACACTCAACCAGAGGCTCCGGGAAACTGCCCCTCCGACTGCGCCTGGCCACCTTCCCTGACCCCGCCTGTGTTAGGGAGTCTTCCCTGCTTCTCAGAACACCCTGTGTCCCCCTCAGCCTCACCCTCATCACTTTCCATTTTAACAATAGATTTGAAATCTCTGCTTTGTTGTCTGCCTCTCCAGTAGCCTGCACAGCTTGAAGGCAGGGCCCCTGGCTGGCTCATCTCTGGGGCACCAGCTCCCCAGAAAGGGCCTGGCCCAAAGTGGTGCTCATTGCCTATTTGTTGACGGGGCGAATGACTGCTTGGCTGGATATCGATCCCTTAGGTGAACAGAACAGGCCAAGGTCTGGCAGACAAGCTGAGGGACAAGCAGAGAGCCAAGTTGGAAGCTTCCAGTGGGAGGCTGGAGAGCAGAAGGAGAAACTACCCTAAGAAGGGCCCTTTAGAAAAGTGTATCTCCAGCCTCAGGATGTCGACCTCCACAGAAGGGCAGGGAGGACGACCAGCGTCTACAGAGACCTCAGCCCTGGGCCCCTTGAACCCCATGCAGCCCAGGCCTGACCACAGGTGGCGGAGTGAGGAATATCTCCACCCAGGGATGGAGCACAAGGAAAATGGGGCCAAGGGGCAGCACAGTGTGACCCTGTAGGAGGAGGTCCTCCATGAAGTATGGCTCATCACTTTCTTCCTTTTTTGTTGATTTTGCTTCCTCCTGACCCAAATGTTGTGACTTTTACAATGTTGGGGGACAAAGACAGCAGCAACTTACACCTCACAGCTCAGGGAGCCGGTCTCATGTAGTGCATTTACAATGGTTTCACTCCCTCCTCTCACCCGACAGTGACATTAGAATCAGCATGTAGGGAATTGGGGGCAAATGGAGCATCAGAACCAGCTGCCGCCTGACGTGTGTGGGTGTGCCCACACACGGCATGAAACCCTCACAGGCCACGCAGATCCTTCCTGAGCCACTCAGGTGCAGGAACGGAGGCCGGCCTGGAGTCACAGACTGTCCTGGCTGTCCTGATTCACCAGACGTGGGAGTGGGCCAGTGAAGGATGCGTGTGTCCAGCTTACTTTCACCTGATGGTGGGGCTGACCAGTTCTCCTTCTTCCAGGGAGGGAAGATCCCCGTGAGATGGACAGCTCCGGAGGCTATCGCCTACCGCAAGTTCACGTCTGCCAGCGACGTCTGGAGCTACGGGATCGTCATGTGGGAAGTCATGTCATTTGGAGAGAGACCCTACTGGGATATGTCCAACCAAGATGTGAGTGTTGGCAATACCTGGTTGTCACAAACCCCTGCCCAAGGGATCCCACAGGAGTGGCATCCCAAACCCTCCTGTTTTCAGCCCAGGGCCTCATAACCTGACCTTGAGGGGACCAGAGCAGGGGATACAGGGACCCCCTTGGCATCAATGTTTGAACTAATCAAAGAGCCCAGCATGGAGATATGACAGTCCCAATTACCCCAAAGCCTGTAAAGGTGCCCAGGCCAAGTCAGGGGACGGTGAGCTGGTTCTGAGTGGCTGCGGACCATGAATAGATCAGGCCCAGAATTAAGCAGGAATTCTGCCCTGCTTCAGAGTGCCCAGCTGTGTTCTCCTTCACCACATGTGACAGCGGGGAAGGCGCCGGGCTCTGAGGCCGGGCCTGGCTTCCAGACCTGCTCTGCCTCTGACAGATGTGCTGCGTGGAGCCAGGCGCAGTTTTTGTCTGGGACTCACACCTGTCGGCTTTAAAGAAAGGAATTGTAAAGGGCCCCTCTTTCCTGAGAATCCACCCTTCTGGGATCCTGTGTCACCTCTCAGTGAAGGAGGAGCTGAGCAAGTTTCCCAAAGCTGGTCACATTCAGATGGGCCACAGGAACAGGACCCTGTCTGACTGGAGGTCATCAACATCCTCCAGGCTGCCCCTCAAGAGACAAGGGCAAGAAAGGAAAGAGAAGGGTCATCTGAAATGCTTTAACTGGAAATGTCTTTTGGGGGTGTTCCAGATGGGGTCCTTTGGTCCATAAATACCCAAAGGTGGGAAGCGTCTTGAAGATGATCTGTTTTGATAAGGCCCCAAGGGAAAGTCCTACCTGGATTTCCATACTGCCTGGGACCCTGGCTTGTTCCCCAGGATCACTCCTCCTTTGTTTTTTGAATACAGACCTCCCCACTTGGAGCTGAGAGGCTGACAGTATGCAAAGCTCTCATACCTCTGCTCTCTGCCAGCTCTTCGCATCACCCTGGGGAGCAGTTCTTATCTTTCCCAACTGACAAGCAAGAAGAGGCAGGGGTGTCCCCAGTCCAGATCTGGTTCCATCAGAAAACCAGCCGTGCTAAGCACCTGCAGGCTTGGGTGGGCTCTGAGGCACCGGCAAACTTGAGGAATCGGCCCTTGGCCAGCCCTCTCTGCAGCCGAAGGTTTAGAGCCGTGGCAGTTGCTCAAAAGACTGAGAAAGGTGGCAATCTGGGAACGCAGAGACATTGCCCAGTGAGACTGGAAAGAGCAGCTGGGGTGCTGCTGTGACAATGCCCCGTCCTGCCATGAGCAGAGTGGCTTCAGCCCAGAGCGGGTGAAATGGCTGCATCCTTCACCAGGTCCCGATGCCAAGTGTGGCGTCTAGGTCCCCCATTATCTGTGATTATCCACGCCTCGCCTCTGCTCCTGTGGCATGTCGAATCAGTAAGTTTCGGAATTGATGCCGAGGCTGCTTTCATGAAATGAACTGCAGCTTGGTTCCGTCCATACCGTTAGCTAGATGAGTAATAAATATTAGTCAGAAAAAGCAGACCCATTTTGTCCTGCCCAGAGACTTTAATCTGATTAAGAACAATTCAGCACACATAGAATGGATTATGAAACTCTCTGAAAGGCAAGATTTGACATTCAAGCTATTCTCAGGAAATGCATTCACCTATGCTGAAAACAAATGGAATTTCTGATATTAGACTTCCAGAATTCCCAAATCGTTCATGCTACAAACACTCATTGTATGCTAACTGTGACTAAGCGTTGTGCTTGCCAGTTCTATTCTTGGGGGGTTTACAGTCCAGTGACATGATCACAGGCCTGCGGGAACATTCGGATGGGAGAGGTAAGGAAGTCTTGCCAGATATTTGATGCTTGAGCTGGGCCTCAGAGGGATAAGAACATCTGCGAAGTAGCAGTTTATTCTAGTTTTGCTGTATTTCTCCAAAATAAAGCCCCTAAGCATTGTCCTAAGTGAAATTCTGCTCTCTGTGGAGGATAGGGGGTGACTTGATGCCATTCAGAAGGCTTCTTATCACCTGGCCTGGGAGAGAGCCAGGAGGGGCTCCGAGCTGCTCCAGCCACAGCCCGACTCATCAGAAACCACTGAGGTAGTGGCAGTCAAGAATTTTACAGATGACAATTGAAAGGCTTTAAGAAAGAGAATTGCAGAGGCAAGTCAGAGTGCTGGTAATTGGGCTTCCGGAGCCCAGGAAGGTCTTTGAACATGTACAGAGAGTTTGTCAGCCAGAGAGAGAACTTGGAAGTTCTGCCGCTTGGATCTGATTGACAGAGATAATGAGAGTGGCAGTGTCTGTGGAGAGGAGCCGAGGTTTTATTGAAACATCAGAGCTCAACTTAACCCCCTCTGCCCTGGTTCCTCCGCCACTCAGAGCTCTACTTCACTCTCCTGCATGGAAGGTCGAGTAGGCACCACCCGCTGCCCAACTCGCTAATGGGAAATGAATGTCTGGGGACAGCCAGGAGCCCCCCCGCTGAGGATGTGAGGGCAGGAGGAGGGGCCCTGCTGAATTTCCAGCAGAGCTCCAGTACCTCACCAGGAGCCTGAGGCACCTGGGTCAGACCACCTGCACCTGGTCCACACCCAAACTCCACACCTGCCATCTCTGGGTACAAGTGAGCAAAACCAGCCCCTCATTGACCCAGTCCCTGCCCCCTTACGCCCCAGGGCCTTTGGGATGGCCCAAAGAGTTGCTGCAGACTGTTGAAAGCAAGCCCGCAGTCTGCTCTGGGACAGTTGCCAAGACTAGCTCTCCCACAGCCTGCACCCTCACTCTCACCTGCTCTCTGGAAACACCATCTGATCTCCTTCTAATCTCAAATCTTTTCAACATCCATTTATCTCATCCTGTGACGGACCAAGGAAAGGGGCCCAGGACTCACTCCAGTTTTCAACTCTGCTCAGTAGGACACCAAAGGCCCCCAGCCTTGGGCCATATCTTTCCACACAATTCAAACATGGTCACTGGTGTTTTGAGCCATCAGACGGATAGACTGAAGGTGTTTCTCCATCTCTCCTCCCTGTTTTCCACACCTGCTAGCAAGGCAAGTGTGACAGAGAATGATCCCAAAGCCCCATTAGAGGACCACAATTCTTTTTTTGAAATCATATTTTAATTTGATTATAAGTTATATGTACTCAGAAAATTTGGACAACACTCAGATCCTTAAAAATAGAATAAAATTCTCCAAAGGCATAGCACTTCAGTGAAAGACTAGAGTAAATAAGGGCTACCCGCGCATCAATTAATGACCTGGGGATATTCTCCTTTGGAGTGGAGGGTAAAGGCTTTCTTTGTTCATATGTGCATTCAGAGTATCAACTCAAGCAATAACAACAAAATTATCTAGAAGAAATAGAAAATGGAATAAAGTCCCATTTTGTAAATGTGAGCTTGAGATGGGGTTTCCATGCTCTACCTTGAAAGGTGAGAAATAGGGATGTGGCATTGACTGAGTCCCCACTATGTGCTCGGTGCTTTTCAAACACTATCTTCTTGGACTTCCACATGACCAGCAGCAGAACAGCAGCCCTCTTTGCAGAGAAGACATCTGCTGTAATAGACCTGGCGGAAATGACAGTCTCCATGGGATGCAGAGATTCTTTCTACTACTCACCTATGTGATGTTCAACATGCTTCACCTCACTGTGTCATTTAATCTTTTTAACAACCCCATGTGTGCAGTTTCAAGAAGTCAAGGGACTCTCCCAGGGTTCTGGAGCTAATAAGAAGTGGAGCTAGGACTTGAACCCAGGCCTCCAAGGTCTGTGCCCCTAATCACATTGCCACATCATCACCAACATAGCCTGTAGATCTGCGCTCCTGGCTCACCTGCAGGGAGGTGGCATCAGTGGCTCTTTGATGTCTTCTTAAAAAGAAAGTCAGAACACCAAACAAACAGAGGAAATACAAAAGCAAATGTTAGGAGAGTCTTCCAAAAATTCCCATGAGGTGGCATGCCGAGGAGACAAGGGGAAAGTAGCTAAGTAGCATTCAGTCTAGAACTCAGAAGCAGAAGATTCAGCACATGCATGGGGACCCCAGTCTCTTGAAGCTCTGCCAGGGGTGCTTGGGTCAGCTGGTCACACCACAGAGCTGCCCCCGCAAAAAGGCCTTAACTCCAGTGCTCCTTCCTGTTATGGCATATGGGAGAGTAATCTTGTCAGTGGGGAAAATTAGTATTTTGGGCTCTGACATCTAACAATTTGAGCAGAGATGCCAGCAGTTTAGGAGAACATGAGCTGCCCTGCCCTGGAAGATTTAGAGGGGCCCCTAGAGGAACTTAGACGCTAACCCTCCTGCTGGCCCCACCTGGCTTATCTTTTAGGCAACCGAGAAAGAGCTCGTGGGTCCATTCCATGGGTAATCCCACTTGCCTCTGCAGTGAGTGGGGACTCTGACAGGCCCCTCAATGTGGCTGCCTGGGAGGAGCTGGAAAAGGGTGCTGGTTGATGAGCCAGGCTGATGGGAACGATGCCCAGCTGCTCATCCTCATGGCTTACTTGGTTTCGGTCCATATGCCTGTTTCCTGCCATGAAGTTATCAAACAGCACCAAGGACTGTTCTCCAGGCTGAGCTTACCATGGCGATCCCACAGAAGCCTGCGTGGACTTCAAGGTATTCAAAACTGAAAATCGGACCCCCGTGATTCATTCCCAGCCCTATCATTACTAGCTGTGTGCCCTCAGGCAAGTGACTCCACTTCCTGTGCCTGCATTTCCTTGTGAGGAAAATGGGACTAGAAAGCCCTCCTGAGAGGGTAGCAGATGATTGACAACTGATTGACAGCAGTTGGGCAGAGATAAAAATTTATCAGTGGTGCAACATATTCAAAAGTGAGTGTTCCTATT